CCTTTTTATTATTTAAAATGGAGAAAAAAAGAGAGCATAATAAAAATAGAAAATAAATAGCGAAAATTGCGTTAAATTTAATTTACTGGATGCTAGTAGTTGACCTTAATTGATATATTTTCAAATATTTGTTGCTCTCAGGAACGCTTAAGCGGTGTGATTGAGAAATGATATTGAAATGTTGAATTCTTAAACAATTAGAAATAACAACAAACGACAAAATATGCTTGAGTGGCTCGTACAGTTGCCCCGGAAAGTGAGTTGAAAATGATTTTTACAAAATTTCACTTAGAATTAAATACGCGAACGGATTAATATAATAATGGGAAAGTAAGCAGATTTTTTAAAAAAAGCATTTCACCTTTTAAATATAAAAATTTTGATGAGAAGAGGGTAACATTTTTTTTTTAACACTTGTTTTTTTTTTTTTGCCCTTGCGCATGTATAGGTAGTCTGTCTTCAAGCTTGTCGTCCCCTTTTCTGCATTTTGGAAAAAGATACAATGCTGCAGCTTATCGTTTATAAGGTTAGTTGATGGATAGATGGATGGATGGATGGATGGACAGATGAATACATGTCTCTTCTTATAATGGGGTTGACCCGAATAAAACGAAGGCAAAAAGTAAGTACGACAATATTTGCAATGAGTTGTTTATTAGGGTTTATCATATGATTTCGTTTAAAAGATCGTAGTTAACCAGATATTAATTAAAAACTATTCTTATGCCTTAACCTGAGGTGATATGCGTTGCGACAAAAAAGTGCCGCAAAGCGAAAACTACTTCCCCTCTTCTTCTTCTTCTTCTTACTTTTAATGCTAGCGCAATAACAACATCATTAAATTTTCTTTGACCCTAATGGACAAACAGTTGCTTGCTTTTGGCTAAATTTGACATAAAAAATATTTAGAATGAAACTGACAACTATATGCAAAATTAAATGCTCTAATTTACGTTATTTTTTATTATTTTTTTTTTCTTTTTTTTTGTCAAATTTTAGTTTTTTGACTGAAAAGTAAAAAACAAGAAACAAAAGAAAGAAAAAAAAAAAATAAATAAATAAATAAATAAAAGGTTTTTCGCGCAAAATTTTTTCAATGCATGACAATAATCTTTTCAAAGATTTTGCATTTACGGCTAGTAAAAGTACAACTGATGCCGTTGGATGTCGATGAGATTTTTGCGCCAAAAATTTTGTTTTATTTTTGGATTTCAGCCAAAAAGTAGAGGAAGAAGAAGAAGAAGGAAAACGCAAACAACAAACCATAAAATGACACAGAAACTAATTTAAAAAAAAAAAAAAAAAAAAAAAAAAAAAAAAAATTAAGGGAATTTTTGAAGAGCACCGACGAGCGGTGAAAAGGACAAAAGTGCAAAAAATATATAAAAACAAGTTCGTCTATACATAAAATTCGCCTTTGATACGTTTAAAATTTAAAATTAGAAAATAAAATTAAATTAAATTTACACAAATTGGGCGTGTCTATTTGATCGATAGTTTTGATATGTAAAGAAGGTTATCATTTTTTTCTTCTTTGCATTGACTTTCTCATGAGATTTATTCATTTTTTTTTTTTGCACATCAGTCATTCGATTATCTCAGGAGGCAGAAGAACATAGACTAGCTGGAAATGTTATCAGTTCAGTTAAGGCAAAAGATATATTTTCGCTAAACAAGCGATTGTTTTGTTCATAAATAACTCAAGTTATCTAAAGAAAGGACTAACAATCGCTAAATATATGCTAACTTGGAAACATTGTATGAACTGACAAAGTCAGACTATTGTTTGTGCTCTTCTCCATGTAAAATTTGAATTTCCTATTTTCACCCATTATCACACCCAATTGATTTAATACTGAAGGACAAAAGGACAGATGAGCACATAACTTGGAATGCTATTAAGTCATTACAAGCGAAAGCACTTAGTTAGTTTAGTAAACGCCCACCGTGATGATGGGCGAAATACGAAAGTAAAAAAAAAAAAACAAATAAAAAATAAAAATGCTTTCATTACAATTTCACGATGAATCATGATGTAACAACAAATGCAATGAAATTTAAAATTGTTTTATGGATTATTTAGATTTTTTCTTAAACGTTTGCAACCAGATAAAGGCGATGAAATGATTACAGAAACAAAATAAAATAGCGCGCTTGTTATCAAAACAAAACATAATATAGAAAAAATAAGTTACGAGAAGAAGAAATAACAAAATATATATATATATATATATATATATACTTTCTGATCACAACAAAACAAAAGTCTCACAATCATCTCATCGTACAGTAGTATTTTATTGATACCCTCCCCTCCTCCCCCTTACTCTCGTCCATCATCAAAAAAAAAAAAAAGACCCAAAGACAAACTATCAAAAATAAATAATAAATAAAAAGAAATTACAACAAAAATTCTCTTTAAAGAGAAGGAAATAAATTGTAACGCAACAAGGAAATTAGGCGGGAAACGCTCGAGACTATAGCAAAACAAGAGAAGCAAAAAAACTAAGACGATTTTAGTCTGTTTTCTTATTTTTTTTTTTTTATTTTAGTTTAGTCTTATTCTTCTTTGTTTTTTTGGGAATAAACGTGTGTTAACGTAAAAACAAAATCGATCGTCTTTGAAATTTTTCGCGCCTTTTTTACATAATATTTTAATTTAAGCTGAATGGCAAAACAAACGAACATATATTTTTGATCAAACTTAACAATAATTATGATAAGATTGAAGAGCATTTTGTCCAGCTACGTCATATATCAAGGGGAATGTGAAATTACTTCCGACAGTACGAGTAGAGAAGTTAAGACCCCTACAAAAACTTTGTTCATATATATATATATATGTGTTCATATATATATATATGTATATGCATAAGTATTTGCATATGCATAATGTATGTATGTATATGCATATATGTATGTATATGTATATATATGTACATGTATATATATATTTACGTATGTATAAGTGTTTGCATATATGCATATATATATGGGCTTAAGCAACGTGAATAAAGGAAAGTAGTACAAGCGACTGACTATCATCGCTTATTACTTTAAATTAAATTATTTCACATTTATTTTTTATATTCTTAATATTTTGATTGTTCTACGGTTATACAGTAACAGATCCGACAAATCGAAATTATTTAATCACAAGGCTCTTAACTCACGGCGAGGAACGCAGATGAACAGTTGCCTTAAACTACCGATATTATCCTAATAGCTTTCTTATGAAAGTATATGACAGACAGATAGACAGACAAACAGACTAGTGCTCATTAAATAAACTACCTTAGGACGTTTCGTATCTTTGCAACATATTGTAATTTATTTAAAATAGTAGCTTAAAGAGTACATTGATTGAAAGATAAGAAGATACAAATGATGAAAATGTAAGCCGACTGACGTGAAGAAGCAGCAAACTCCTGAAGGAAGAAAGAAAGAATTTCCTTTAGTCAAATTAAAATATCTCGATTTTTTTTTTTTTTTTTTTTTTTTTTAAAGCTGATTTTTGACATTAACGTTTTTCATAAGGAATCGTTAATGTCCAGTCAGAGGAAGTTGAGTAGTTTAGCTCAAATACGAAAGCCAGTTGCTGGGGTGGATGAAACATGCGCGCAATATGTCATGTGCTTCTCTTATCTTTACATCGAAGAGAAACCCTCGCCACCCTCGAACGTAATAGACCAAATCTATGCATAGATCTTTTCTGGTCTACATTTTTTTTAAAAAACTTCCCTAAAGCAACAAAGATTTTTTTTTTGTGCTAATTCTTAATGCAAGCTGCTGCTTATGGAAACTTCCAAGTTTTACTTATTTATTTATTTATTTATTTATTTATTTATGTGTATTAGATACCATACCAGTCCATTCAGGGGCCAATTCAATGTATTGTATAGTAACTACAGCTAACGCACAGTACAATTCGCACTGAATCATCCGTTGTATACTTTAACAAGCCATATTTAAAAGAACTTTTATCTATATTTGAATTTTTGTGTATTCCTCGAAGAGGAAGTGTGCAAAGTCAATAAAAATCCTACATCAGTAAGTGAAGCAAACATTGACAGCATATTTCCCATAACTGGTGTGTGTAGCATTGAGTAGTTGCTACCAACTGAAATGAAAAATACCTCTGTTAACCGGCAACGTGAAAGGAAATCAATTGTATTTCTCGTGTGAACAAAACGCGCTAAATGGCTTTTGCACTTTCTGTCCATCCAAAATTTCGCATAAACAAATTTCAAAATAATCGTCTGTAACTTGTTTCGATTAATTCGTTCTTTCCCTTTTCCGGTAATGCCGCCTGGTGTCGCCTTACATGGTCGCTTTTAAACAACCAACTGCAAGCACCCTTTTTTTTCTTTATCCTTATCTCTGTCCCTCTCTCTCTCTCTCTCTCTCTCTCTCTCTCTCTCTCTCTCTCTCTCTCTCTCTCTCTCTCTCTCTCTCTCCCACTCTTCCTGTGTCATGTACATAAAGGACTTTATACGAGGACAAAATAATAATAATAAAATCAATATTCCCAATATTTACCACCGACGTCCTTTCAAAATAAACCGTAACGACGCATGCGCGCGTATTCGCACATTTATAAACAAGAACGTGATAAATGTTTAAAAATGAAAATGTAAAGCGCGGTTGAAACCACATTTCCTGCATCGCTTGTAATTGTACAGGGAATACATTTTTTATAGCAGGGGTTGGTTACTACAAAAGTTTCAATAAATTTTCGGGGTTGGTACGTTATACATATAAGGTGCGTGCAACCTATGTCCTATTAGAATTGAAACCTGAGATTTTTGTTTGCAATCATTTCAACGCTTACTCAAATCACATTTGTTCTCTTTCACCCTCGTCTCCAATACTTATTATTGAAGAAACTACCCCTAAAAGAGGAAAGAAAAAAAATATATATACCTTCGAGTCTTAAGAAAAATCAGGTGTTCTTAAGAGAAAAAAAAAAAAAAAAGAAAAGAAAAGAAAGAATAATTTCATGAACTCTTAAAGGCAAAATAAAAACCCAATTGGATTACTTTATTTATGTAAACAGGTCAAGATTAAGACGAAGGTACGTACAAGTGTTGCATACATAATTGAAATGAAATTTTTGGCGGGATTTCGCTAAGAAAGATAAATACTTGAGAAGAGAGAAAAAAAAAAAAAAAAAAGTCTAAAATTATAAAAGATTATATTTTTACCTGTTATTAGAGTTTGTCTGCTATAAGGTTTGTAGCGTTCTGAGGATGATGACAACAAGAACAGCGATGCTCCAGGTGCGGCTGATGTTGCTGCTGCTGCTGCTGCTGGTAAGGTTGAGTCGCCTTGACAAGTTATGGAGGGGTTGATTGTTCGATTACGCAATACTTTTAAGCCAGAGCTAAGATTTTTTGTTGCTTTCTGTTTAAAGTTGCTGCACTTAATCTCATCGGGCGGCGAGCGATTTAAGCTACATTTTTCCTTTTGCAAACGTTGTTCGTGTTCCTGTAATTCTCGCTCGATCAGGCTGCCAGGTATTTGGGTAACCAGATACCGTTCATTAATGTTGATATTGGCCTTTACCACAGCTGCTGTGGGATGTTGTTGTTTGGTTGTGGGTTTTCCACTTGCAATATCAAAATTGTAACGTTGCAATACGTACGAACGTTGGCGTTGAGCTTCCTTTTGAAACAGTTGATTAATCTCACCGGGCTTTGGTGTACCGAACAAATTGCGGCTAACGCCTTGCACTTTAGCCAACGGTGGACGTCTGTACGTTACTGTGCTCGTTGTTTGTGTAATATTCGGTGTATTACGTTGTACTAGGGCGGTTGGCAAGTCACCGCTACTAGCGGTAGCGGTGGCCGTAGAACGTGGCAAACCCATTAATTGCACGCGACAAGGAAAAAATTCTACACTGCTCGCTGTCATCATATATGATTTAAAGACAACAAAAAGAAAATTTTCTATTATATTTTTTATTTTTGTGTTTCTTTTTTTTTTTTGATTTTATTACACAAAATGTTTATTTAAAAAAAATTTTCACTTTTTACTCTTCGTTCGTGTAATGAGTGCACTTTTATTTATAATAATTGCAATTTTTCAGAACGAGAAGAAAAAAAAAAATAAAAAGCAAATGATTTTTTGTTCTATTGCGCTCATTAATTATTTATTAATTTCGTTCATTTTTTACTGGTTTTTTTTTCTTCTAAACCACAATTCTTAACATTTTTCTCACTTATTTTTCTTTCGGGTTTTGGAAAATAATTGTTATGAAAATTTCTTTTGTTTTGTTTCTATTTATTTTTTTTTTTTTCCTTTTTTATTATACAAGTCTCACAAATTTTCTTGTTTTATTTATTTATTTTTTTTGCTTTTTTTCATACAACCACAACCTTATTCGTTGTTTTTTTTCTTATTTTTTTTTTTTCCAAAGGGGTTGTGTATATACGTTTTCTACGATTTCTACAGTTTACGAAATTCTCTTGTGAAACACCGTCAACACGTCCATTCTCCTCGAATTCTGTAAATTTTCTGACGATTTTTCATGAATTTACTGTACTTTTTCGATTTCTACAAATTCATTTTTTTGTGTATACCAAAAGCATGCCGACCCGTTTGCACTTATTAAAGAGATATATATATAAGCAATTTTGCGTGTTCTTTTTTCTTATTTTGCTCAGACCATAGTGATTCACAATAGTTTGCTTGACGTGAGAGAAGAAAATGCACCTCCTTATTATATTATTCTCTATCTGGCAAGCTGTTGTATAGGGGAAAGGTGCTCCATTCACTCATTTGAGTAGTTTGCCTATGCTTGCAGTATATTCTTCACCACCACTATAGTTCATCACCAAACAATGGGAAAAATTAATATAGTGGAGAGAATGAGAGAATTCCATACACGTAAGAGAGATAGAGAGAGATACGTAAGCAGAGAGACATTAAATATAATAATAATATTAAATGCAAAGAGAATGTAACCTTCGTACTCTTCGCTCCATAAAGCCAACAAAGGGGAAGATCTTTTATATAACACTACGCTGCTTTTTTTAAGGAATATTATGCAGTGCAAATGAACATAAGTTAAAATATATTAATCGTATTTAAAGTTTAAGTTATAATTAAACAATGCCAAATTAGAAGCATTTTAAGAATTCTTAAATCTTAGATCGTTGCGAAATATAAAGCGATAGGTGTTTGCGGTTATTGTGGAATATTGTAATATCAAGTTGAGGTTGTGAAATTAATATTTTCCTTTTGCTAGCTTTTATGCTTATACTATACTTTGCTTATGCTTATACTATGTTTGCTGTCAAATTTCATATAACGATCATTTTAGGTAGCTCAGTCTTCATACTATCTCTTATAACCTTTACAATAGCCGCATTTAAAGATTTATCGCATTATTCACATTGAAGTGTAATTAGCGCGATTTCATTGTCTTATATGACATAAGAAAATTTTCAATTTTTTATTATTATCCGAATGAAATTTATTTTTAAAGTTTATCGGCCGATGCACACGTTTCATATTATGCAACTGTACAAGTACAATTTTAACATAATGTGACCCTTTTTTTTGAAATAAGTCTCTTAAGGGATGATGTTCTTTGGCATCCTTTATCTACAAATAATGTTAATTTCTTCTAATCGCAAAATAATATTTGAAGGGAGCTTTCCTTATATTTGTTGTTTGGTAATTAATGTTTGTGTTTTATTAGAAAATGCTGAGCTTGCTTCAATTTCATTTATTCCACTGTACAAAAAAAGTACCTGGAAATATGCAAACAGCAATCATGGTAAAGAAATATATATATATGTATATATATATATAAAATTTTAAGTAACTTTACAAGTGTACCACCACCAGACAGCATTTCCTACTACTGTCCGTATTCCTTTCTCTATTTCTTGCTGCTTTTTGCAGCATTTTTACTATTGAAAAGAAAAAGGATGCTAGCAACGAACAAATGGCACTCAACATTAGAAATCCCTGAAAATTAAAGTAATGTTATGATCTTATAACTAGCACGATCTTTGGGATTAACGCGAGGACCGTCATCAAATTACGTAATGGTGGCTTATCCGTTTTTTATTGAACGAAAGCGCAATTACGACTTTAAAGTACAAGAAATGTGACATTGGAAATGCATTGGAAATTTAAAATTTATAAAAAACCATCTAAAAGTGACATCTGAAAATGATCCTTGACGCGTTTCTAATTTTTTGCATGTAATTTTTCTGGCCAGCGGCGTAGGTGATTGGTTAGTAGTCATAACCTTTCACTTCTAACATTCACAACTGTGCATCAAGACTTTGTAGAACCTACATATATACATACATACTGAAAGTTGGTTGTTAAAAGAAGAATTCTTCCCTCAATATTAGATTAAAATAAGGGATAAGGTATGCACCAGCATCAATTATTTTCCAAAAAGCACAAATATTCGAGGATGTTAACTCAATCTTATTACTATTATTATTAAATTCGCCAGAGAATAAATTCTAAGACTGAACTCTTAAAAGCACTAGCATCTAAGGCTATCGGCTTTTTAACTCAAACATAACATCCTTTTCCGTTTTTTATTTACTTTACATTATTTAACTTAATTTTGTTCTTGCTTTCTTTATTTTATTCTACTTTATAGCTCCTTATGTTTTAAATATTGCATTCAACTTTATTTAACTTCATAATTAATCATAATTTAATCATAGAGTATTTCAAATTTATTTATTTATTTATTTATTTTAATCATTATTACTTATTGCCTTTGAATGTTGAAAAAGTATCTAAATATCTTAGTTTTGTTTATGTTTACAAGTTAACAGCATGCATGCATGATTTGTGTTTGCTTTTATTCAATTATCAAAGTCACAGAGTCAGTCTCATTCTCATTTTTATGCAAAGAAAAATAAATAAATTGTTTTGTTTTTATTTGCAATTGCAAGAGCACGAGAGAGTATGCTTTCTTGCGCTCATCGAATATGAATTTATTTTTTTTTTTTACTCTTTTATTTCTTTTATTTTAACATGAGAGTAGCGAAGCACATTTTTACTTAAGGTCTCTCTTGGTTGGTTTTGTTTTGATTACTTGATTTTCTTGTGAGTAATGCCAACTAACCTAAAATATTTACCAAAAAAAAAAGTAATTTATGAAAAACCACTTTACATTATAAAAGTAGTTGTACCTAAATTTAGTTTTTTTATTACATCAAATTGTATTTAAAGATCAAGTCTTTTAATATATACCACTTTTTAAAACTGCAACTCTTCTAATGGCACTGGAAGGAAGCAAGCGCTTTTTTACTTTTTAATTATCTTAAAGAAATCACTTAGTTGATAACACAGTTTATGCGTCTACTTCCAGTTGTGTGCCGGTTCTTGTTATAACTTGTATTTTTTTTTTTCTATTCTTTTATTATTTTGTAAAAGAAAAAGTGTTTTTGTTTACGTTTATTTTTATTATTCTTCTTTTCTTTTTTCTTTTTTTTTTGAGAAAATATGAATAGAATTAAGTTCGCGCGTTTTTCTTATTATTTGTGTGTGTAGGAAAACTCATTGCTTTTGATTTCACAATTTTTCTCTGTGTCTTAAGGAAACAAATGAAAAGTAGAAAACTGGTATCTTCTCTAACAATTCTTAACATATTTTCAATAGAAAAGTAAAAGTTTGTGAATTGTTGTTGCTACGTTGTGTCGGTCATGTGAGAAATCAAGAAAGTGGTTATGGCTGTTTATCCATCTAATAATGTTTTTATTACAGGTTTTGTTTTTCTTGTTTGCGTTGTGTTGTTTTGCTTTTTTTTTTTTTTTTTGTTTGATTTAAGTTAATGAAAACGCATGTTCGCGTGTAACTTTAATGTTCTTTAATTAATCTTGGAGAGGATTCCCCCAAGTTTTAGTACGTCCGGTCAATTTTTTTTTTTTTTTTTGCATCTAATTAGTTTGCTGGTTGTAAATGGAATAATAAATTATTCCGCACATGCTGTAAGCAGAATAAACCGGAGAAGGTAATTATCATCAATATAAGGGAACGAGTAAGTGCTTTGCTATTTATGTTATGCTTTTATTCATTTGTTATGTAAATATTTTCCAGCACTCTATGCTAATAACGAGACATTAAAGTAAATAATTGTTTTATATTAGATTTACTTGGGAATGTGTGCGGTAATAATGAAATTTACAAATTTAAAGATTAGGAAGATTAATTTTAATAGAATTTAAAGAGATTCGGGTAAAATGAGTTCTGATTTTTTAAAGAAAATTCAAGTTAAATGGTAGAAAAGTTGAAATTTTTCGTTGCAAAAAAATGAGAAAATATCTTGAAGGAAAGACTGTTTCTGTTTACCAGTTTGAGAGTAACTTATAACGTTTTTCTTTTATCATGGAAAAATGTAATTAATTACGTACTTTCGTATAGGTAAAGCATGCATATATTAGATTTGTTATTCCGATAGTACCCACATCCCAAAGATGTCGGTTGGCTATGTTTTCCTTTCTTTGTATGATTTTGAAATCAATAGCAAATAGTTTCTTTCAGATTTCCTCGTCTCTTTCAGTAAAAAATTGAAGCAAATCTAAGATCATTAATGCGTTCGTAATTGCACTATGAAAAAAGCTAAGAAAACCTTTCACGTTGTTACCGTAAATATTTCAAAGGCTTATGTAAAAGATACACGTTCGATGTCGGCAAAGTCCAAAATCCGAGCCATATACTTCTCGTTACAAAATTCAACATAAAAGGGTGAAAATACACAATACCTTAATACACAAAGCTATACATGAGGAATCTCATAAAATATTTAGAGTTTTTATTCTCCGTCTGTCCATGAGATCGTCTGTCTACTTATGTAGATTTTTCAAATTAGTATAATGCAGCTCATAACTTGAAACCTCACTGTATCGGATCTTACTTTGATTGGTTTGCTTGAAAATGAGTGTAATCGAGACTGGGCAAAATTCAATACAATTCCGAAGATTTTTATAAATAACTTACCTTACTTGGCTTTGAGGGTTCAGGTCTTGTCTGTGATGAACCATCACAGACAAGATTTACAAAAATAAATGGCTCAAAAGATTCTAGTAAGCTAGTTACGTAATTTCGTTCGCAAAGTTTAGAAGCGTGCATCAAATACTTTATAACCTACAT